CTTTCCGCCTCACCTCCCTGTAGCACAGCTGGAAGCTCTGAAGCAAAATGCGGCTGGCTGAGTTGGCTTCGCTGCACCAGGGTGGCTGGCTTTAGAGTTGCCATCACCTTTGGTTTCACGGTTTTCCTGCACAAGGGGCCCAGAAGGCTTGCACCCTTGGCTACTTCCTTCCACTGACTTTGAAAATACTAAATTATCTGAATCTAAAAAGGGCTTCTTTCTTTACTGGCTGAAAGTGTCTGTCTTCCTCTGGCCTTGTGTTTGACACTAGCATGTATTTTCTACCTAACTTATTCATTAACTTTACTGACACCATTTACTGAATAGTTCCTTTTTTCTTCATTGATTTTTTTTTTGAAGTATAGTTGATTTACAATGTTGTGTTAGTTTCAGGTATATAGCAAAGTGATTCAGTTATATTAATACATATATTTGTATCTATTCTTTTTCAAATTCTTATCTATTACAGGATATTGAGTATGGCTCCCTGTGCTATACAGGAAGTCTTTGTTGGTTATCTATTTTATATATTGTAGTGTGTATATGTTAATCCCAAACTCCTAATTTATCCCTCCCCTACTCTTTCCCCTTAAGTAATCCTAAATATTTCTATGTCTGTGAGTCTATTTCTCTTTTGTAAATAAGTTCATTTGTATCTTGTTTTTAGATTCCACATATGTAGAATATCATATATACATGATATCGATATAACATGATATCATGTATATATGATATTTGTATTTCTCTGAATTATTTCACTTAGTACTGATGATCTCTAGGTCCGTCCATATTGCTGCAAATGACTCCATTGATTTTCTTGTTAAGATTTTTCTTATCTACAAAATTATTTTATGTACCTCATTTGTGTTCAGACTTTTTATGTTCCATTTCTTTCCATCTCTCTACTCTGTTGCCAGCACCACACTAATTTTTGTAAATTTCTAATGCATTAAAAAATTTATCTTTTTTTAATTAATTGATGATTGCTTTACAATATTGGTTTGATTTCTGTCATACATCAACATGAATTAACCATTAAGTGTACATATGTCCCCTCCCTCTTGAGTCTCCCTTCCACCTGCCGCCCATCCCCACCCCTCTAGGTTATCACCCGTTTGAGTTCCCTGAGTCATACGGCAAATTCCCGTTGGCTGGCTGTTTGCATATGTTAGTGTGTGTGCCTCCAAGCTACTCTCCATTCATCTCTCCCTCTCCCTCTCCTCCCCCACCCTGTCCGTAAATCTCTTCTCTGTCTGCATCTCCACTGCTGCTCTGTGAATCAGGTTCATCAGTACCATCCTTCTAGATTCCATATATATGCATTAATACATGATATTTGTTTTTCTCTTTCTGACTTACTTTGTATAATAGGCTCTAGGTTCATCCACCTCATTAGAACTGACTCAAATGCATTCCTTTTTATGACCGAGTAGTATTTCATTCTGTGTATGTACCACAGCTTCCTTATCCATTCATCTGTGGATGGACATCTAGGTTGCTTCCGTGTCCTAGCTATTGTAAATAGTGTTGCAGTGAACACTGGGGTACATGTGTCTCTTTCTGTTTTGGTTTCTTTGTACATTTTGTTTTTAACTGGTGGAGAAAATCCCTCTCACTATGTTTCCTTGCCAGAATTTTTTCCTGGCTATTCTTACAAACTTATTTTAAAAGAAAAATGTTAAGCAATTTGGTCAAAATATTCATGAAAAATATCCCAACCTTCTGAAATTTCATAAAGTTTTTTAGGGGTTGGAGAACTTATATCTTCCCTTATTGAGTCATACATATTTCTGGATGGGTCCAGAAATATATGTTTTGCTACATTTATTGTATTTTATTAATGCCCCACAGTGGAATATTACCCACATTTCCTATTAGGTTTATGACTATACATTTTCCATTTTCTGTAGCTATCTTGACAGAGATGATTTTCCAGCATTTTCCTCACTGCTTGTCGAAGGCTTTAAATAGGAAGGTGGCAAGGGAGCAGCTCTCCCGGGGCCGGAGGGAGGTAGGGAGCCTGGTCTGCAGGCCCACCGCCCAGGCTCGCGCGTCGATGCTCTGTGAGCTTTGCCACTTCTGTTATCTCAGTTTTCTCCTCATCCACAGCTTTTTCTTCCACTGGGGCTTGTTTGAAGTCAAGGCTTCCAGACAGTGACTCGGCGCCCAGTGCTGATTTAACCTACACTCTGGAAATAGGCCTCTGAGGCCAAGAGTTGGACTTTCAATGGGGTGTGAGCCTTGAGAAAATTTCAGGGCGATATGAGAGCCCTTCCTTGTGACAAAGTCAGAAGGTTGTAACTGATTGACTTTGCTATACACCTGAAACTAACTCAGGTTTGTAAATCAGATATATTTCAATTCCAAAAAAATAAAGAAGATAAGCCTCTATTTCACTTGAGTTTCTATTAGTTACTTTCTAAAATAGTATTTTATTTATTTGGCTGTTCTGGGTCTTAAGTTGCGGCATGCAGGCTCTAGTTCCTTGACCAGGGATTAAACCTGGACCCCTTGCTTTGTGAGCACGTAGTGTTACCACTGGACCACTGGGGAAGTCCCTAGTGGTTTTTAATCCTAGTAACCAAGCAAAACAAATCAATCCCTGTTGAGACCATACTTATAACCCAAGGTAAACTCTGAAGGGTTGAGAGGGTGCTCAGCCACATCTGACTCTTTGTGACCCCGTGGTAGCCTGCCAGGCTCCTCTGTCCATGGGATTCTCCAGGCAAGAACACTGGAATGGGTTGCCATTTCCTTCTCCGAGCAGTTAAGAGGATGGGTTGCAAATAGACACTGCAAGGTTTGAATCTTGGGCTTATTCTCTTAAAGATTTATGACTTGGCTTGTTTTTAAATTTCTCTTAGAAACTTCAATTTCCTTGTTTATAAAACACAGAAAATAATGACGCCTGCCTTACAGGGAGCAGTGTTGATTACATGCATATAGCACAAGTACATTTGGTGAAATGTTAGCTAGTTTGCTTTAGTGGAACCCGAGGTGAGAGAGCTGGGCTTCACATTCACATCCACCCTTCTTCCAAGTCCTGGCTCTTGGCAGGATTAGACGGTTTCCTCAGCCACACCTACGCCAAGATGTGCTGCAAAGAGAACGTTAGGCATTTTTGCAAGGAAGGCTGTTACTGGCTTTATAAATCTGAGAGCTGAAACTGTACCATTTTTATGTGTCCTTGATCTATGACCAGTTACATAATGTTGTCTCACATTGGAAAACATTAGGAAAATGGATTAAAAAAATCATTGAAATTAGTTTTACTCTGATTCTTCCTGAACCTATTGGGTTCCAATAGGTTATCTGAAGTAAGTGGATCTCAGAGTAAGGGTGCACCTAAATTGGGCCCTTGGGTATGAGTTATAAGCCTTTTATATACTAAAAAGTTTTACGATTAATTGCTACTTCTTTTTCTCAAGACTTTACCCATAATCCCAAGAACTACTTTTGGACATCTAAATAATGCTTCTCACTTCTGTACGCACATTGTCACGTAGTTTTAGACACTCGCATGTGTCCCACCATGTATTAATGCTGATCCAGTCACTGAGCCTGAATTTCCTTTCCTCAGCTTTGAATAACCCAGTGTTTCCTTCCTATGTAAATATTGCTATGAAGAAAATTGAAAATGACAGTGAAGGCACTTTAGAAATTGAAAGTTGTAGACGAAAACATTTCAGTATTATGAAAGGTTTTTATAAAACACTAGTCAAGGGACTTTTCTGGTGGTTCAGTGGCTCAGACTCCGTTTCCAATCCTGGGGATCCAGGTTTAATCCCCGGTCAGGGAACCAGATCCAACTAGGACCCAGCACAGCCAAATTAAAAAAAAAAAAAAGAGTACACTTGTCAAGGTATTCAGACGTCAATGTAAATTGCTCAGTTGGGAGAAAAACCAAAAACACAGGGCATAAACTTGGTCAAGACCTGGGCGGTAATTCCAGTTTTCCCCTGGACTCAGGTTAACCGGTGTCCCAAGCTTCCACTGGGGATCCTAGAGGAGTTTAAATAAACAGCCAGTGATAAATAACAAGTTGTTTTTGCTTTAAAGGTTTTACCTTTAACCCTACCAAGCTTAGCATCATTTACAATAGGGGAATCCTATGAATGGGTCTCTACCAGTAGAAGATTCAATTTCCAGCCTCACATTTTCTAATAAAATGACAACCATAAAAATCCTAGCCAAGGTTTAGGGAAACTTCATTGCCCATCTGTGTAAACGCCCCCACTTCCTGTATCCATATCCTCGTATTTCCAAAGGTTTCATTTCATATACTGTTTGATGTTAAACTCTCCCAGGCTTTGCATCTAGTGTCACTGTGCAAACTCTCTCTCACTCAAGAGAAACATGGCAGCCGGGTATCCAGAACACAGGTGAATGCCACTCCTGGGCACACTTAAGCAGCTCTTGTCTGGGGCTGAGAGAGAAGAAAGGGGCAACCCCAAAGTGAGACGTACCCCATGCTCCCTCACACACGCACTCTGGGAGCTTTCTGCTCGACAACACTCCTCTCTGTGTTTGGACCAACACAGTGGTCCAAGATGGAATCCCTTTAATCTTTCATCACACTTTTCAAAAGATAGAGGAGATATAAATTAAATGACTTGAGATATGACGAGAAAAAGCTAACATGCAAAGAAATACAACACACAGAAGAAAATATGCAATGTTTTATTAGCTGCATACATTTCAACAAACAAGTTGGGGACACAGATTTGGCTATTTAGATTATTAAAAATATTTATTATAAGCAGGTTTCTTTTCCCATATTTAAGAGAAAACACATGACTGGAAATATTGAGATGGAAACTGGGTTAAACCAATTCCCAAGTCCTTACCAAGTAATTAACCAATAAAGGAAAAGATACTTTGGAACTAAAAATTAGGGAAGCCTATACACAATTTAGACATGGGTGGGGAGGGAAAAATAAATCAAAATGAAGTCAGATCAGTTACATTTTATAGCCTTCAATTCAGCACATAAAACTGTACTATTTAATGTATTTCTCCATGAACTTTTTGTGAAATTCAGATCGAAGCGTATCATTTACAAATCTTTTGTCTTTCTTCTGATCATCTACACCTTTTGCACAGTTCTTAAAGACAACATCATCATCCCACCTGAAAGAAAAAAAAATAGAACAATCTTACAACACCTGTATCAAGAGATAAAAACATCAGGTGAACTGCAAAGCTTCCTCATGCTCAACACACGTCGTTTGATGCTGCAATTATACCCAAAAGAATAAGTAAATTTTAAGAGGTGGTTGGCTTGCTTTTTCATAACAGGAAGGGTAATCCCTACTTTAGAATATACACAACATTCTTATTATTTCTCCAGTATAAGAAACTTTGAGTTAAAAAAGCAGAAACTGCATATTTAATGTTTTCAGGTCAAAAACAAAGAGGCAGCACCTGGTACTACCCTGATTAGTATGGACAGGTCTCAAGGATAACTGGGCAAGTCACTATAGTTACATTACGTGGTTTTAAGGATTTTATATATACTCTTACCATTTAACAATTTAGGACAAAAGAAGAAATTATTAAGGCTCATATGTTGGCCCACATCTACATTAACCACAAGGAAAGAGCAGCTGAAGAGCTTAGGGCAGGACTCTGGTTAAGATTCTCTTGGCTGGCTTTCATAATGTATAAATTAAAAAAAAAAAAAGAAAACAAACAAACAAAAAACCAGGCAGCCCAGGATGGGCTTAAATACATGTTTTAGAGAAAATAAAGACTATTATTTCAAAATATCATCTAGCATATAAAACACAAACTCATATATGCAATATATGGGTTCTCACAAACATGTATCAAATGAAAGTCTATACAATGTGTGTTTGTGTGTGGATGTATGCATGTCAGAGGAAACTGCACGTGGAAAATCAGCAAAGAACATGGGCATCTTTGAAAAGGGTTGTAAGTCATCACTGGTGCAGTGCAGAGAAATGTGAAAAACTGAGCAGAGCTAGGTCAAATGTGATCTGCACATTAAGACATGTTTCAACCTCCAAACATTCCTATCTGCACAAAACAAGGTAGAACCACCATATAGTTTAATACAATAAAAAAACTACAGATACAACCTTATTTTATATATAATCTGTACTGTATACATATACATAAAATCTCCAACTTATTTACTGTACAATACCTTCTTTTAACTTTAAAGTTGGCCTGAGGCTGGGATGGGCCAGTGAGATTAAGAAGAGGGTTTCCACTCAGAATGTTTTCCATACGAATCCTTTCTTCTTCAGCCTTTTGTTCTTGTTCCTGTCAATGATATGGGAAGATTCCTAAGTAAAAGATTCATTTACTTATATTAACTCTGGCGTCAATCTTATTATCATAACTCATATTTTAAAAGATTGTTAGGATTTTTAGGGAGAGATGGGATAAGCATCAAGATAGCACTGTTTTTGTTTTTAAAGATATACCAAAAAAGTCTCATTTACTGAAATAATTTGGCACCTTCAAGTTTGTTAGCATTCATTAGTCTCCTTCTGACTTTGAAATTCTTGAGTTGCATATTTAAACATATTTTCTTTCTTGAATTACATACAAAGTTACATAATTGCTTAAACAGTGTATCAGTAAACATTCTAATCATTTAAGAACATGTTAAACATCAAAAAGACACATTTAGCAAAGCAATTTATCTCAATTTCTAAAGAAGGGTTAATATAGCCGATTATAAATAATCTTTCGACTCAGTAGCAATGTAAACTTGCATCTCTAGGACTGGTGACAAGTTATTATTACCAAGAACAATTTCCTATCATTTCCTTTAGAGTTATTGGTTGATTGCCACACACAGCACTGGGGAAAAAGGTGCCACTCTTTCCATACTCCAGTACCAGGTACACTGTTTCATGACCATGGGTATACAGGATGGACAGCCTGTGGTTTACTCCAATCCAAACCATCTTGTTTTGTAAATAAATTTTACTGGTACAGTCTCATTCATTTATTTATGATTCCTATGGCTGCTTATCCTACAATCAGCTGAGTTGAAAAGTTGTAACAGAGGCTATGTGGTCTGCAAGCCTAATACAGTTACTATCTAGTCCTTTATAGACAGTTTCCCAGTCCCTAACATAGGCTGACTGGTTTGAAAATGTTTTGAAACACCTCAAAAGCCAGCCACTAGAAAGCAAGATAGGGAAATACGTACAAAACTGTCATCTGACTCCAAAATACACCAACACATATTTGTACAAAGAAATCAGATGCATCTTGCAAAATTGCCAAGAACTTCTGTCTAAAATGCTTATGCTCCTTAAATGAATGTTTATGCTCCAAATGCATTTCATTGTATCCACAGCTGTTACGAAGGCCACAAGAATTTGGAATAGAAAAACTGCCCTCTTGTGGTGCACAGGCATAGGAATGGTCTTATAGTTCTATTGGAGTTTTGCTATCCTGTGCCAAATTTTGACACGAATTTTATCTTTAATGTTTTTACTCTTCCAATGTGAATTCTAACTGTCTTCAAAGCCTATCCCCAATTCTACCTATTTTCTCAATTCTTCCCTGGTCCTTCTGACCCACATGAGTTCTACCGCCCTAGGTTCCAAGCATAGCCTACATCAGTCTTTTTCCTTTTTCTAAACAGAACAATTCTTGGTTCAAATAAAATCTTACAAAGAAGCCCACTTAAAAAAAATTTTTGTTCTATTCCGGTTGAAAGTGGAGGCAGATAGATCTACCTGAGGGTCTCACAGTGTGCCTAATTCAACATGTTCCAAACAGAACTCATCATTTCTTCTCTCTCCACCGAAGCATGCCCATCCTTCTACGTTCCCTGAATTAGTGTATGGCACTCACACAGACCCAGGAACTGCCATAGCTAATTTGTCACTTTTCTTTGGTCAATTTTATCTCCCTGAGAGTTAACATCTCTCAAATTCAACTCCTAGCATGCAAGACTCTCATAACAGGATATGAGGATTATTGAAACAGCCCTCTAATCAGTTCTTTCTTGCATCCTCCACACTTTGGCCAGAGTAATCTTTCTAAAATGCACCCTCAACCCTACCATCTCCTGCTGAAATTGACTAGTTCTGCATACCCTTTAGGACAGAGTTCAAACAGAGTTCAAACTGTTTGCATTGATCTACAAATGGTCAGTGCACTCACTCACTCTTGACTCCTAAGTTTTATCTCTTATTGTTACTACTATGGGTAATTATGTAATAAATGTACATACTATGGATCCTATTTAATTTATCTAACTGTCTTTGAATTAAGACATTCTTTCCTTCCAAATAGAGAGACTGTGGGGACTCAGAAACTAGGTTACATAAAATTTATTGACAGACGGCCTCAGCAAGTGTCTGGAAAGAAGACTGGGGCAGAAGACAAGGACAGAGGTAAAGATGGTTTCATTATATCTGTGGGTTCTTCCTAGGTAATGACTACATCTAGTCATCTTTGATTCTTCTGACACTTAATAGATACTGACTAAATGTCTGTTGAACAAATAAATGAGTGAAGAACAATTTAATGACTAGGCCTAAACCATGTTTGCACCATTTCAAAAGAATTTCTAACATAACTAGGAGACTTAGGATGTCACAGAAATTACCAGATCTATAGACCTACAGGTGCTAGAATTCTATCTAGACCTGGCAAGGATGATTTCTAATATAAGGTGCTACTACTGCTACTGCTGAGTCACTTCAGTCGTGTCCGAGTCTGTGCGACCCCATAGACGTCAGCCCACCAGGCTCCCCCCATCCCTGGGATTCTCCAGGCAAGAATACTGGAATGGGTTGCCATTTCCTTTTCCAATGCATGAAAGTGAAAAGTGAAAGTGAAGTCGCTCAGTCGGGTCCGACTCTTAGCGACCCCATGGACTGCAGCCTACCAGGCTCTTCCATCCATGGGATTTTAGAGGCAAGAGTACTGGAGTGGGGTGCCACTGCTTTCTACGAAGGTGGTACTACTTGAATTAAACAACATTTCTGCTATAATTTATGTGAGATGATGTAAAAACATTTAATATGTTGGTCTTACCTTCCTGGCCTGCTCTTCAGCTCTTTCTTTTTTAATTTTTTCCAGCTCTGCAAGAAGAGCTGCAGTGTCGTCATCATCACTCTCCTCTTCAAAATCTTCATCTTCATCTTCCTCCTAAAAAAGAATGGTGATGGCAAAGGAGGTTAGACACAAAATAGGCATGTCATTTTTTTTCCATAAAAATGGCACTTATCAAATCTGTGGAGCAGGATTAATTTTCCCAGTGGGAAAGATAAATGTAGCTTAATAAAATTAGATCAGCAACCAAACAAAAAGTAAAATAAAACCTCACAAGTAGTTTATGACTACTTACTAAAATGTATCTTAAAATGTATTTTAGACATTATAGCAGCTAATAGTATCTTTCAAATTTACATGATCAAATAAGGATTTACACATGAAAATAACTGTAAAACTGGAAAAGGAACACTTTACACTGATACACACTAACTACATACTTTGACCCTGAGGGTCAAAACACTTTAATATTGCCCAAAACAACTAGGAAGTAAGAATAATTCGAAGTACAGAACAGGGTGCTAAATTCTCAGAGTAAAATAATTTCAAATGAATAATCATTAAATCTCACTTAAAACTGAATTTCTTATACTGAATTACTATGTTAATTTTTAATTTAGTCTATCAATTCTAGAATCACTAACATATATGCTTAATTAGATGCCACCCTTTAAGACTTTTTTCTGTATGTAGAAAACCGCAAATTTAGTGGGTCTGTGGGGTTCCACTAAATTTGAATGTTAATGAAAGTGCCAATCCTTAAAAACCTTTCACTTAGATCACATGCCTCCCTAAACACAGAAGGAGCCATTATGCCCACTGAACGAGTAGAAGAGGCAACACTGGTTGAGAATAGGGAAAGGTCCCTACGTTCACTGGAGGGGATGCTACTGATGAAGAGCCCAGTCTGAAGAGGCAGACTGGGTTTATAATTCCCTGGTTTAATACAGGGAATTATTTTTTAGGGAAGCACACCTTTCTGGTTCTCTAGAGATCAAACTTGAAATCTGATTAACAAGATAATGCTTTTTTTGTTTTAAAATAAACTGAAGTCAGAGCTGTAACTGAATAATAGTAAGTAAATACAAATTGCTTCTTAAAGCTAAAAAAGTAAATTAAAAAGTATTTCAGAAAAATGGTAAGTAAATTACTACATGCAGATGAGAGGAAGAAGTAAAACACACATCTGTTAGGGGGTCATCTGCATCAAGGTTGGCAGCAGGAATCTGGTCCAATCGGGGCTTCTTTGACACTGAGGAAGAGGTTGTATGTTCTGGGAGAAAACAAACATTAGTTAGCTCACTGAATCAAATCCTGCATTTCCGGTAACATTTTAGGGACTTGTGGGCAGAGAGCTTAGATCTTAAACCTGAGAGTAGGGATTATAACAACAGGGGCAGACAAATAAGTCTTAGACAAATATTTGCTGAATGAGTTAACAAAAGTACTGATTTTAGTATGGGAACTGTGGCCTCAGAAAATTTAAGATATAGTTTACACATGCTAAAAATAAAAATGGAAGAACTTCATAGACAGAAACCATGGGGACTTAAAAAATCTGGCTGCTCTAAGTAGTCAAAAACTCCTTAATCTGAATTGAAACAATGGTTGCTAAATATACCCTACTAGTTCTAATAAGAAGCATAAAAAGATGAAATTAGTATCAATTTCATTATCATCTCTAATCCAACCCAATGTAATCTAGTCCAATCAATCCAATCCAATCTTTCAAGAAACTGCTACAGCTCTTACCCAATTTTAAAAGCAAACAAACAAAAATAATAATCTATTCCTATTACTACATAAAGAAAAACTGTTTGTCAACATAATGTCATGAGAGAAATGTTAAAAGTAGTGTTGGTACCTCGGGTTGGCCGATCTCTGTTTTTTTCTCTTGCAGCAGCTCTCTCTCTTTCTTCCAACTCTCTCCTGAAGTCACGGTTTCGAACTTCTTCAGGGGCATCCTGAGTGGTCTGTCTGAAGTAGAAACAAAACAAGGCAAAGTTACTTCTAAAAAACAAATGGCTGTAATAACAGAAGACAATTCAAGAAACACAACTTTATCCTGAGTCCCTAAAGCATAAAATTCCACTAGGGGAATCAACAAGATCATTAGTCTAATCTGAAGGCTACTAGAGGCATCCTGTGATGTCAATAAAATCAAACTAAATCAACATACTTTCCCATAGTAAGGCAGCAGGTTGATCAAAACGCCTTTACTTTTTGTTAGTATGCTAACTCAGGGCTTGTTACAGCAACACTTTTAATCTCATACTGATTAGTACTGATAGTGCTTACTCCTCCTGACAGAACGTGTTACTAGTCATTGTTCAATCTACATATAGAAATTCCTGGTAAACTGGAATTTCTGCTTAAGGAATATCTGGTAGCACTTTTAAATCATGGAGCATAATTTTGGTGTCAGAAACACTACTACACTCTACCCCTATGAAAATAGATAACTTGAGTGATAATAACCCAAACACGCTATCTGATGACCATATCACTTAACAGATTTGGTCTTGCTTGTGAAACAAGAAAAAAAATAAAAGGCTTCATTACCTATATTTTATCTTTGTATGAGAGGGTAGGTCTCTGCTTGAATACTGCTTTGAGAGCTGGCTCAAATCACCCTCACCTTTTCCTCTTCCACCTCTTGCAGGTTCAAAAGTTGGCCGAGCTGCTGTTGTCATCTTTTATGCTTTGAAGAAAAACAGTGCCAAGTTATTTTAACAAACTCTCATTTTGAAAAGCATTAATCAATATCCATCCTTGTGAAATAATTGCCCTAGCTCATTCCCTCAAACATCTGTGACCCCTGGCAAGCCACCAAGTTTAAATTTCTGTTATCTGCGGAATGGGGATATTCCTCATAAGATTATTAAATCAGGAGACTTGACACATCAAAACCCTTGTAAAATAAGAGTACAGTCACGTCTGAGTTTTAAACATCTCCACTCAACCTCATGCCACCAGACTCCTTACTCCCATTTCATCTAAACCTCACAGAGAACAGGTTAGCAACCACAAAAACAAAAACATCTTTAAAAAAAAAAAATCACTGACACAGTTAGAGTGTTCTAGAAAAAAGTGTGCTAAACTTCAACGACAGTTACATAGGCAAATATCTCCAACAATCTTTTGTTGATCAAATTTCCTCCAGCAGCAGCCAACATAATATAAATCAGATCTTTCACAAGTTACTATTTAAGAAATGCTGGAAACACAAGAGCCCACCCTCAAAGAACTCTGATAGCCAAAAATTAGGGACCCGTTTGTGGTTACTGAAACATCCTCACGCGTCAGAAAAGCAAGTGTCGGGGGAAACGATATACTTCTCTAGATTTTCCGGAAGAAAAAGGGGCGGGGGGAGAGGGATGTATCCAGAGACAGAAACAGGGATGCAGGCCGCAGGGGAGCACCGCCGCCTCCCCCAACAGAGAATCATCCCGGGGGCAGGGAGTTCACCTCCAGGCTATCCCAGGGAGCCCGCTGACTCTTCTCCCCTATCCCAGGGGGCGAGGCGCGGCCCTCTGCAGAGCCGCCTTGGCGCTGTGCTCTCGGCGACCGGCCGGAGACCAGGGACACGCTCGCTAGGCGCCAAGCGCCACCGCTCGCCTGCAGCTCCGCCGCCGCCTCCGCCCGTACAGGCTCTCTGACTCCGCCCCCAGCTGCCCCTTCCGGCCCCACCCACACTCGACTATCCTCGTCTGGAGCTCTGGCGCCTCCACCGCCCGCACCGGTTTCTCTGCCTCCGCCGCCAACTGCCCCTTACGGCCCAACCCACAGTCCGCTTTCGTCTTGCCGCTCACTTTGGCCGAGCTCCGACGCCGCTGCCTCTGGAGATCATACAGACGCCATCATGACTGCTCCCAGAAACCTCTGCACCCGCGTCCAAAAAAAAAAAAAAAAAAAAGCCCAAGACCCGGAAGCAAACCCCGAACTCTTCAGCCGTCCTTCGGAGGCGGAGGCAAGGACCAATCAGCGGAGACCAAGGTGGAAATTGAAGTGACGACGCAAGGGGCGGGGCTGAAACAGTCCAGGGGGCGGGCATTTGAAATCCGTCGTTTAGAGTAGACCGTGAACGTCGGTTTGTACCTTCGAGAGCCAATTAATGTCTCTTCCGTCTTTTCCTTTCCCGACCCCCTCCCAGATTCCTTCATTCCGGTACTGCGTGAACGGAGAGCCGCGGGTAGCCGACACCAAATACCTGGGTAGCGAGAGCATAGAAAAGGATTACACCAAACTGTTGAAAATCCAACGGCTCCTGCTTCCTTTCTCCTGAGCTAGACCCAACAAGCCTAGAGAGGTGGGCTACGGAAAGTAGTATTTGCATTTAATTGGAGATGAAGAAAGAACAAATATGTACGGGGGCAGCCACGATCTTTATAAAGGTACCATTCCTGCAAAAATATTAGTCTTCACATCGGAGGTTGGATTCGTAACGTTCGTTAACATTTTTATTTTTTAAAAAAGCCTAAGTTCTAGTGGGAGGGGAGGTGTCCCTATCGAGATTCATTTATCTACTGACCGACATTGAACATTTAGAATGGTGGGCCCAACTGCCAGGAGCCCTAGATGCAGTTAGTATTGTAAGATGGCTACTCATGCATTAGGTGAAGTTTTCGTAAGGTAACAACAGGAAAATAAAAAAAATCACGTATCGTCCTAACTCCTTCCCCCACCAAAAGCCCCCTGGGAGCGTGGATTTGGTTTGCCTTTCTAGTTCAACTTGGTATCTAATCACATAATCCTTGGCCACAGTAGATGTTCAGTAGATATTTGTTAAACAATTGAAAATTCAACTCCCCCAACTTAGTTTCAAATGTAAAGAGCTCATAATATCGAACAGAAAAAGCTTCCCCCACTCACGCCCCCAGAACCCTTTCTTTGAACTTTAAGTGAAACAAAGCATTAGAAAATGTTTCCCTCATAAAATTCAAGTTGCTAATCTTGATTTTTCTCACCAAAGGTATTACTCTCCTAACCTTCCACGTCTCAGTAAAGGACACGACTACCATCAGGCTAGTTACTCAAACCAGAATCCCAAGCCTCCTGCTTAAATTCCTTTTCCTTCAGTTTTCTTATCCAGTTTACTTGCAAGTCTTCCCTAATTCTACTTTCAGCATATACCCCAAATTTCATTCCACTGCCTTAGTCCACGCCACCGTCATTTTCTACCTGGATTGTAATTGTCACCTAATGATCTTCCTGCTCCCACTTTTCTCCCACAGTTAACTTTGCATATAAAAATGAGAGGGATCTTTTAAAATCGTGAATCAGGTAGTGTTACTCTCCTGCATAGAAATTCACTGCACTTAGAATAAAAATCAAACTTCTTATTGTGACCTGACCTGAGAGTTTGTAGGGTTTGGTCCCTACCTATCTCCCTGGTTTCACTTCTAATCATTGTGCTGCACACTAAGCTCTAGCCACAGGCAACACTGCATTTCTGTTTCACAGACTAGATTGCTTTGCACTCGCTTTTCTCTGTTGTATGTGCCTCGGTATAGCTGTATTACCATTCTTCAAGTCTCAACTCAAAGATGACCTCCTCAGGTTTCCTGACATCTACTTTTACACCCCCATCCTGCCAATACACGAATAGCATCACATCACCCTGTTTTATTTTGTCATAGTACTAAACACTTGTGAATGTATTGTTTGATTATTTATTTCCTTGTTTCTTGTCTGAGAGGCAGCATAGCAAAGTCATTAAGAGGAAGGAACCTACAGCCAGCCTGTTTCGGTTCTGAAATCTAGATCTGCCTTTTCCTAACTGTGACTTCAGGCAAGATATTTACCCTTTCCTCTCAGTTTCCTCATGTATTAAATGGGAATAATTCTAGTTTCCACCTCATAATGTTACTATGAGAATTAAGTGAATTAATACTAGTGCTTAAAATTCTCAACAAACAATATTTGCTAACCAGATGTTAATTATTATTATTATTAATAATAATATTTTTATTATTATTATCTATCTTCTTGTATTAGAACATAAGTTCCAGGAAAGCAGAAACCTTGTCTCTCTTGTTCACTGGTGTATCCTCTGCATATAGAACAGTGCCTGGCACATAATAGGTGCTGAGTAAGTATCTGTTGAATGAATGAATGATTAGCACACTCTGAAGTGGAGGAATGACATGGATGGCAAGGTGGTGACACAAATTAGAAAACTCTCCTAGTTTTTTATTAATATATTCCAACTTATCAGCCCTGAGTCAGTCACCTGGATTCGTTCATCTCCCATTCAACCACATAACCTTTTGGTCGCCAACCATGATTATATAACCACCCCTGTAGTTTCATTAACACCAACTTAAAATATAATTAGCCCACAAAATTAAAAGCTTTAGCTTAAATGGTCTGAAAGTATTAATAAGGAAAAGAAACTAAAAAGTTTGCTTAAATAATTTTAAAGTATTAGTGAAAAGCCAAAACTCTAAAATTTTTTTATTTAAATGACTTGAAAATATTAGATAAAGTAAGATTAACTTAAAAACCTAATTCGCCCAGTCAGCTGGTAAAAAGCATATGTAACTAAGAATCCTCATTTTAAAGTCATTTCCACAGAAACCTAGGTGAGCCCTTTATTCTACCCAGCAGTCCTCTTACACTCTCCTAATTGCTTATTTTCCCACTCTGCAGTATTATAATTTGCCACATTCTCCTTTCTTCTAATCCACATACCTCTTCCACCCTCCTTTCCCTCATTTTGTTTCCCAGGAATGGATAATCATCTGACTTCCCTGAGAAAATAGAAGCTGTTTTTCTCAGAGGACTCCTCATCTCTCCCCAGCAGATGTACTGAGCTGCTTTTGACTGTGTCCTTACATTGAGCTTTCCATGTATTGGAAGATGTGAACACACTGTTAGGTAACCCTAATCCTCTCCCTTGTTCTCTGGGTCTAGATCCCTGCAGTCTTCCTGGAAAGTGGTGTCTGGCTATATTTCCTAAAGCAGTGCCTGGCACCAATAGGTGCACATAAGTGATTTCCAAATGAATGAATGAGTGAATGCATGAGAGAGAGAGTGAATGAGCTTTAATAGGAAAAAAAAATCACATTTTGCTGCAAAAAGTTATTACCTTAATCTTATACCTCCTTATACTTTAAAGGAGAAAAAAGTAATTTTTATTCTGCTAGTCTGAAATCCAGGTTTAAAGTGAAGTTACACCAAGACCCAGAAAGATGCTCTTTCTAGGAAAGAATCTCTAAATGAAAAATCAAGTGATTAACAGGCTCTATAAGTACTATCATAATTTTAATTCAGTCAGCTCACCCCTAATTGGATCACAGATCCAACAGTCGAACTTCCCTCCTCTTCCCCAATTCTAGTAAACCCTCTCATTTACAAAGTTACCAGCCCACAAAGTGTGAAACTTTTGCTTGAAAATGAAGGAAAAAACCTAGTGGTTACAAGTTAGAAATCACATTTAAAAAATAAAAATATCAATGTAATAAAAATAAAAAAAAATTTTTTAATCACATTTAAAAAAAATTAATCTGAAAATGACTGGTTTTATAAAAAGTGATTGCTCTAAACTGTTTTAAAAAAAATAAAAATAAACTGTTCTGAAAAGTGAAAGGAATAGAAAAATAAGCTTACTTTCTATCAACAAAATCCTGTTTTTAAATGCAGATGCTTTGGATACCAGAGAGATGCTTTCCCAGCAGTAACCTCAAGATGA